CACACACACACGCCCTGCCAGGCAGCCCTTCCCCGCTGCAGCAGCAGGCCGACCTCCTGGAGCCCCCTGCAGCCTCCAGGAACCCCCTGGAGCCCCTGCAGGCTGGTGCAGTGGGGCCCCGCGGGGGGCGCGCCTGCGCCTCCCGACCTCACGTTTAATCGCCGTTCCCGAGGTGATCCCGGCCGGGACTGCAGCAGTTTACTTTCCCTAACAACAACAAACAGCCAGCACCACCCTAGGAGCACCAATACGCAAAAGCCACGCTCATCGAGCGACATAACGACTGCTCTTCTGCACACAAGATCTAAGTCACAATCACTTTCACGGCGAAATGAGAAATTAAGATTAAGTGTGCAGATATTATCAGGTGCATGTATTATTTTTTTCGCGCGGAAACGAGCGCTCTGTACAATTGCGTTGTTCTCGACCCGCCGTCATCCTGGCGACACCCGCGGTGACACCTCTGCCGCGCGAAGCGACTGTCAGCACGATCACGCCATCGATTCTGCTTTTTCGTCGTTTCTCGCTGGGGGGGCCCCGACCCGGGCCGGCTGCGCGCGGAGAGCCGGTAGCAGCCGGGTGCACATTATCATTCAATTAATTAGCGTGTTTGGAGCCTCATAAAAATAATTTTTAAAAAAGAGAAAAAAGAAAACTGCGGCCGCCGGGGGCCGGGAGGTGCTGCGGGCCTGCCTACCCGACATTCCCACGGCGCCGTACGTCCGCCACGCCAAATGTATGTATGAATGTATGAAATGTGCGTCGGCAGCGCCTAACAAACAATTATACGACGACCAAAAGAGCGGCCGCGCGCCCGGCAAAAATATAATCATCGCAACGATATAATTTCATTAGCAACGGGCGGCAGAAATCGTCGGGATAAATAAAAGTGGGAAAGAAACGCGAACGCGAGGTGGGGGGCGGCGGCGGGCCGGGGATGGGGCGGGGTAGGGTGAGGACACACAGAGACAGAGAAACAGGGAGAGACAGAGAAGCCGGGGAGAGGGCAGCGCTGCAGGCCGGGAGATGAGCTGAATATCAAGGCGAGCGGATCATGTGCCGGAATAAGAAACAATGATAATTAATATTTTTGCGGCGGCCTGGCCTCTCTCTCTCTCTCTCTTTCTCTGCCGCGCGCCGCCGCGCCACGCCGCGCCAAAAGGCATCGTACATAAATATGTAACGTGCGCTCGGCGCGGGGCCTGCGAAACAAGAGCACGTCGTCGGACAGGGCGCACCGCGACCTGCAGATGCGTCTCGTGAGGCTGGTCAGGGGCGCCGCCTGGACCAGACCATCCGCGGCGTGCTCTGCTGCGAGCCGGACAAAACGCGACGACGCACTCGGTCCCCATTCATTCAATCGAAGAGGAGCCCCCCCCCCCCTTCCTCTCCCGACGGAGGAGGATCCGGTCGCCCGGATTAAGGATACAGCAGGACGAGGTCCGTCTCGTCCATCCCATCGGTCCGCGCGCTGACAGACGATTTGTCCTGCGGATGTGCCGCGCCGAGTGAAAGGAGAGGACCATCCGCCGAGGACCTTCGGCTGAGGCAGCATTACTCCACAAATCAACTCGGGACCAACTACTTACGGAGGTGGGGTCCTTTTGGTGGTCGGCAACAGCAGCAGCAGCAGCACATGCAACAGAGAGGAGAAAAGACATGTAGCAACAGAAACGAGCGGATATCACAGAGTTTGCAGTCTATACATTGTCTGGAAAGGAATAATGAACTACACACATGGGTTGTCGACCGATCGGCACAACAAGAAGTGTATGTGTTAACCGCGACCGCGACGCCACGGCAACAACCCCTTTCCGCTTATCATCCCATGTTTCTTCTTTTCACGCTCTTTTCTTGATAGAACGCAATTTAAATACCATAAAGTTTACACCTCTTGTCTTATCGTATCATGAAATGCACTACGCATACCTTATACCTACTTTTATGGGATCGTATATGGTAAACTGATACTGCAGTAGTAGGTGACGCCGCTGCGTCCCGTGGCAAGTGCGGGCCTCCCAAACGGCCGATGATACTCTCGTAAAAGAGGGACCGGCAGCCGTCGCCACGCCCCGCCACGCCCCATCCTAAACGTTGGCCCCGCACGGCCCGGCGGGACTAAAGATTGGCCCAAAACTCCTCATCACACAACGGCAGTGCCCCTGCCGGCCTTTGCCTTTCACCCGGCCGCTCGGCTCCCGCTAGCGAAGCGCCCCGCCCCGCACGGCGGCGGCGGCGCTCGCTGCCCCCGAATGCGCGCGACCTTTCAAATTGTGTCTAAGTGGCCGCAATTTTCATTCCGTTCGACGCCCATAATAATGTTTCGATGGGAACCAAATTAGATGTAAATGTATTCCAGGGGTACGGTGTGTGGCAGGCCGCCTGCAGGCCCAAGGGGGCTCGCCCGGGCTCGGCAGGTTCCCGAGGGTTTAGATTACGATCGCACCAGTAAGCGCCAAGCACGGCGAGGAGAGAGAGGGGGGCAGGGAAGGGCAGGGGCGAAGGGGCCATCCGGACAAAACATTAGCTCATGCGCCACCGAACCAACAAAGCGGGCAAAGCGGCGCAAAGAAATGGCTGCGCGCGCGAGGAAACGTGGGCACGACGTATCGCTATTATAAATACCGTGGATATTATTATTTCGGTAATGAAACAAAACAACAAGCAGGCCCGCCCTTCCGCCAAACGAAGTTGCCAGCTTCGCTTCGCTGCGCCGGCAACTCCGTTCGGCAGGGGCCGGGCCTGCTTGGCCTGC